CCGTCGTGGATCGGCCCTCTGTTGTGAATGTGTAGGTGCCGAGTTGTGCCTGTCAAAACAGCTGGCAGCCGGTCACGCCGCTCGCTTATCCTGACAGGATCTTTTTCATCCAGAAACACGACTCTCATCCAGCAATGATTCATTCAAACAATGTGCTGTCAGCAGGCCAGAGGCTCACTCGTGCATTCAATATGTGATCCAGCCATTGTCTTGGAACAGCCCAAATGTTGATATGACTTATCATCATGCAGTATACATTCATTCATGTGGATAAAACTAATTTGTATATTTTGGCTTGTCTCATTGCACTGTTTGTCTAGCATCACTGAATAGAAGTTTAACATTTCTTATCTTCAAACAAAGAAAGGTATCAGCAGTGTCATACAATATTGAAAAATAAGTGCATTGATTTAAGACATGAAGCAAAAACAAACACCAATTGCATGCAGCATAAAGGGTGTCCTATCATCAAATGCTACCAAACATATGTGTACCACCAGTCAAATAAAAACTGGACATTGTCGCTCGCAGAACCTTCAAAGGACAGTAAGGCAAGCCCCCACCATTTAGGTCGTTTTATATTTCTATATATATACATATAAATATTCGTTAGCTTAGTCGGGCGAATGTGGCTCAGTAGTAGTAGTAGTAGTGTGCTCATCTTCAGATCAGGAGAGCGCTGGTTCAATCCCACCTTGACACCCACTGCAGTAAGTATTTCTCTGGGGAAGACTTCACCCCAAATTGCCCACAGTATTGAGTGTATGTAAGTCGCTTTGATTACAAGTAACATGTTATGCAATGTCAAGTTTCAAGGTCCTTCTCTCAGATTAATTCTGTAATTCAAGGTTCATGCAGTGTCATTCCTGGTAACTTTGAAGATCTTTTAAAATAAGCATCATTACTAAACCTGCAGCACGCATCACAGCCATAACAACAACAAAAACGCAGAATTTTGAACGATCTCAACTTGCCATGAAGGTTAAGCTCCCATGTGTCAAGGTTAAAGGCAGATCCCATGTGTTGAGGTTAAAGAGACACAGTGTCCCTCTGGTCAGGGTGTCCTTTAGGGGATTAGCTGGTGTTGATCCTAAACTGACAGTTAATCAGACGTGGAATCAATTAAACAGCGTTCGGATTAGGTTGCTGCTCCACTGCTCTGGACGTTTTGTGCACGGCTGACCCCCGTGACTCAAACACACACACTGTCATGGCGGGCAGCCGGTGCCACGTTAACCACTGCGCCACTCTGGACCGCTCCCCCTGCGAGGTGACACTCAATTATGGATGACCATCATTAGAAACCAGAGCCACCGGAACACAGGCTCGCCCAGACTGACACACACACAAACACTGTGATGGGCACGGCGATTATTCCCAGAGACACCCAAGACTATTGAAGTGCTAATGGAGTAACACCATCCATTTCATTACATAACCACTGCACCTGTAACCCCTGTAGCCTCCAGGTGACCAGCAGCATGCATTTTCCATATCAGTATAATTATTAGCAAATTGAAATCAGTGTCAAATTATGATGGTATCTGGAACTTGATGTTGGACGCAGCTGCATATTCGTCCTTCCTTGTGTCTCGGCTATCATAATCCTTCATTTGTTCTATGAAAAAGTGAATACAAAGCACACATCTCTCATCAGTCATTAACACAGGGATTAAGCTGTAATAACAACGGGGCCATCAGATGACGGTCATAAACACAAAAAGAAGGTTTCAGCTTTCACTTTAATCTATGGCTATGTCAGTTTTCTCCATCCACGTCTCTATTATCTCTAGTCATTTTAAGCCTGACAATGGCTAAATGATCTCAAAAACTCTGGATAGATTGCCCAGACATTTAATACAGACATAGTGTAGCCTACACGTCTTGCTCAGAATTCATTCCTTTCAATTTGATAATCGCAAAACCTTTCATCTACCAGCATCAAGTAACTTTTTTCAAGTGGTTGAATACCTTGGATTATGAATACAAATAATTAAATACCTGCCAAAGTAGCAGCACTCTGTGTTTAGTGCTAACTAGCAATTGTTATAATGCTATAATGCTAAACGAAGATGGTACATATGATAAAACAGTGAATGCATTGTTAGCATTAGCATGTTGATCTTGTATAGAAAGTCAGTTTGACACAAAATCATGGGACAATCAGCCACTAGCAGCTAAGTATTGATTTAGGAGTGTTCACTTCACAAAACAATGAGGCTAACATCTTTAGCATTAGCTAGATTAGCATAGTTGTTGCTAATGTCTGTACTTTTGGTGGATTGGCTGTTTGGGGAGAAAAGTGTTGTCACATAACTGACAACACTTTCTCTCTGAACACAGCTTCCTGCTGTGTGAATACAACATCAAGGGGTGTACAGCAAGTGCACATACAGTACATACTTTTGAAAGAAGAACGTTGATTTACAATCCCATGTAAAGACAGAGAAAGTCTGTGTGGCAGTGGCGGTTCTAGACCAATTTGACTGGGGGGGGCCACTGGGGGGCCAGTTATTTTCTGAGGGGGGCACAATAAATGCAGGACGAAAAAGAGAACTAGACAGTATGAAGTAATGCGCATAAGAAAACAATGCAATACAGTTATTGGTATTTGTTTCAGTACACTGATTTATTTCAGATATATCTTATAGTTATTACTGTTAGCTTCAGCTTAAGTTATAGTACCATTTTTGCACTAACACCATATCATATTTATATAAAAATAAAGGCAATGAACAGTTACATCTCTACTTTACATCTACAATTACACGGATACAATAGTTTAACTCACCTTCAATTATCGTGGTAGTCTCTCGAAACGTAGGTTTCAATCAGTCTTTCTTGGATGCAACAGCCTCTGATGATCCGAGATGAAAACTGTTTGTTTTTCGCGCGCTTCAGCCGGAGAGTGAACGTGAGTGCACCGCTCTAATGGTTCAGACTACAAAAGACGAATAACGTTAGTTCCGCCTATTCCGTCATTCAATAAATCGTTTAATAAATCATACATTTTTCATTTTTTTCACTTTTCATTTTTAGGGGGGCCACAGGGGGGTCAGAGGTCAGTGTNGTTATTACCCGTCCCCTTGTGTGTTATGAAGGTTTTTCTGTATGTAAACAGTCTGTAGAGTCAAAACTCTCAAAGTACACCCTGTAGCGAGTAAAACTCTAACACAGAAAATACCTCCCCAAAACGCCTCGTTGGAGATACGTCACTGTCCATTGATTCTTCCGGGTAACTCATGATGTCATGCTTTACCCGGAACCAAATGGACCAATCCGTGGAGCCGTTACGTTACGTCCGCGGAGCCGTTACGTTAAGCCCCCGCTGATTGGTCCAAATTGACCAATCCACGGACTTCCTCACACACACACTCAGGGCATGCAGCTCTGCTGATCTCTCCTCCCTGGCTGCAGGCTGATAACAGACAGTTGGGATCGCGGCGAAATTCTCTCTGCAGACCCATTCTCACAGCGTTTATCAACCTTTTTCTTACTCAATATCAAGCCACACTTATTGTTTTTACTTCGGCTGTGACTTTGTGTGTGCTCAGGGTGAGTTTGGCTGTGTTTCGCTGTCGCTAAACAAGGAAACCACACCTCCACGGAGCTCAGCGCGATTCACAACGTCACAGGGAGGATGGGGGCTGGAGCTATTGGAGCTACAACGAGCCGTTAAAGGCAGAGAGTGAAGTTCAGTGAATACATGTAGTTTACAGAGATGCTGTATGAGAAACCAAAGTGGTTTTGGAAAATTGCACAATATACATATATTCTAGTAGACCTCAACAATGGAATTATGATCAGTGGAAATGGCCATGAAATGGGACCTTTAAATGTATCTGAATCAAAGTATTTGATCCATTATAAGCTAACCTTTTTTTTTTCTAACGCTGCCAATGTCATATGAAATAAAAGGGCCACAGAGAAATTAATACATAATAGATGCTATGATTAGTTAGTCAGTCAGGACTCATTTCCCCCACTAAGAATGTTTGCTTTCATTTTGGCTTATTGGTCTGATTTTCATTAATCTGTTGGAAGGGTAAAGCACTGGCCAAAGAAGAAACCTTTAAATCTTTGAGCAGATTTGATCAGGGAGAGGACACAAACATCGTGTTTCACTTATGGAAACAGTCTTGGTGGAGGTCTGTGCTCTTTGAGTGGCGTTATGTCATTGGTTAAAGAACATATTAACAAATCGCTGCAGTTGAATGTTAGCTTGCACTAACACTGTTACATTGCAGAAATGTTGATTAATGTGCATAAGGTAATGAAGCCTGAAAACTGGGAACATTTCTAGTTTGGTGGTCAACATATCATTAAAATATCCAAAGTGTGTATGTTTGGTCATATTGTGAGGAAGTTGATACCCCAGTTGAGCATAAAAGGTAGAGAAAGTAAACAAACCCCTGTTTTCAACTTGAGGAACTTTGCAAACAACCAGCAATGAAAACGGTTACAGTAGAATTGATACTTTTTTTACTTTGACTTTAAATGTCAGTACAAAAATGGGTTCATGAGCAGTGAATACAAATAGATCCATACGTCTACATTAAACATGAAATGGTTTAGACCAGGGGTGTCAAACTCAAGGCCCACTTCATTTTATGTTGCCCGCAAGAACTCTGAAAGAATATAATACGTTTATATGCCGCTTTACAGAAGCATGTTGCCCATAAACTACATGTCCCACAAAGCATATACATAATTGTATGCATATTATTTTTATATTTTTTTGATATATATATTTTTTTTTGTTTTATTATTTTTTTATTATTATATTATTATTATTATAGTTTTTTTTTTTTACTGTCTTTTTTTTATTTTTGTTATTCCTAATTCGTAGTGCTATATTACTACCTATAACCTATATATATATATTCTACGTTCCTCTCCCCCCCACTTATTTATATATCATACTTATACTATATCTACCCCGTTTCTTAAAGTTACAACTGGCCCTTTGAGTTCAACCATAATGCTGATGTGGCCCGCAATGAAATGTAGTTTGACACCCCTGGTTTAGACCAAATGGCTCTACCTAAGCCTTTTAAACAAAGGTAACATTACAATTAAAGAGCTTAAAGGTAAATGTTTTGGCACTGCAGCATATAAAAAACTCATACTGTATGTGGTATGTTTGGTTGGGAGTCCTGTTTGTGAGCAAGGCATGAATGGAACAGTGAAGAAGCTGCCATTTACACCTGTTTCTGCTACCCTACCTCTACTCAGTATTTCATAACTTCCATCCCTTATCCATCTTTTCTTTCATTCACCTTTATGTTGGTAGTATTTCAACACAGGTCAGTATTTCTAATCTATTATCTAAACATGTGACTAACCTCAGTACTAACTTCTCTTCTCACTGCAACATTTCCTGGCCACTATCACTGCCTTTCTATCGCATATCTGTCTCAGTAGTCCATGCTGTTTAGCTGGTTCTTCCTATCCGTCTTCCCCTGAAGGGCTGCAGGGAGCAGTGGCAGGTTCAGGTCTGCCACCCGCCGCTGGAGAGATGATCGTAACTGAACTGAGTTCCTCTTCAGCCCTCCTCCTGCCGTCCCTCTGTCTCCTGCACCTCCTGCTGCTGGTGACAGATCTTTTCTCTTGTCCCTCTCCTGCCTGAGGCTCTTAATGACCAAAGTATGTTGTCTCTGTGAGGGGAAGGCGGGAGGTTTGGACCCGTTCACCAGAAGTCCTGGGGGTCCGGGTCGGGTCAACCCTACCCACGTCATCTTCCTGCCTCGTCCGTCTTTCAGCCCCACGTTGCGCAGGCGGGGCAGTTGGGCAGAGGTGGACGTGGATGTTGTCTCCATGGTACTCTGTTGGTCTTTTTCTGTCTTTGTGGGGTGTGCGTCCGCCTCCAGGAGCATTCTGGGAGAGATACCGTTCTTCTCTGAGGAATAAAATGTCTGCAGCTTCTCTAGACGCTCGTTGATGCTCAGGTGATGGGAGTGGTCGTCCTGGTGGCGGTTGTCGTGGAAGCAGTCTGACCCGGGGTCTGCCGCCCCGTCCGATTGAGTTGTCCTGAGCAGGTGTGTGTGTCGAATCGGCCTCGACGTGCTGCCGTCTCTGATTGGCTCGGCCGGTAAAGGGACTTGGCAAGGGGCGGATTCACAGAGTTGCGATGCAGAGGCTTTAGGAGGAGAAAGACGGACAAGTTCCCTGTCCCCGAAAACAGACACTAGAACAAACAAACAGATAGAGCATGTCACACACTGTACCTAGGATATGTGCTGCTTCTATTCTATATTATTCTAATACTGACCTTCAGGAAACAGCATCTCTCTCGTGTCTAAGCTGATGGCGATCTCCTCATCAGTGGCCCCGTCCTCTGTGCACAGGGGGCCAGGGGAGGGAAGGCGGGGGGGTATTGAGGGGGAGACAGAGTGAGGAAGCTGGGGTAGGGATGGGGAAGGGGGACGGTTTTCTCCATCCTCTCGGCGGCCCTTTCTAAGCAAGTCCTCAGGCCTCTTCCTGTTGATGTGATATTCTGTCATCTGTTGGGCTTTCAACGGCCGGCTGGACGGCTTTGAGCTTTTCTCGTTGGTCTTTTCATTCTAAAACAATAAGTGATCAGTTGTTAAAAGGCCCAAGAAAGTTTTGACAAAAGACATCCCATAGTCTTGGAAAGCTGCCTGAAGATTAAGAGTTGAATTGAACTACACTTGTGTGTTTCATTCGATTGTTGATGGTATTTTACTTTGATATTGTATGAGCTACCTCTAAGCTTATCTGTAATAAACATCAGTAATTTAGAACATTGTATTGGGCGGCATCTTACTACCAGAACATGGGAGCTGTAGCTTATTTTCAATCCTACATCTATCTTCCCGCTCCATTAAATACTGACTTGTGCAACAAATAATAATTCCTCAAAATAATAAATGTTTTCCTCCTGTTTGAGGTACATTTTTGAGAAATTCTAGTAGCTATTTCGAGGATATTTCTTTGGTAAATGAAATATTTATGACTTTTTAAAAAAACTATATATTTAGGTTTTCATAGGAACAAAATTGGAGTTTGTTTATTTGTATGTTTATTTAGGATCCCCATTAGCTTTTGCTCTTGACAAAAGGTACTCTTTCTGGGGTCCGACACTTAAAACAACACAACAATAATACAACAATACAACAATACTCAACAAAACAACATTCAAGATACAACAACATCCCCAACATCATCAACAATCTCCAACATCATCAACAATCTCATCCACTTTCAACATCAAACTCATGGATGACATCAAGGATGAGTGCACCAGACCAGTACAAAGCATGAAATAAGATTCAATTAGGGTTCACAATTCACAAGGGGTACATGCTCATTAGTAGATGGCCCTTCAATCTCTTCTTGAAAGAGACTCTGGACTCTATTTCAGCAAGGTAGTTTGGCAATGAGTTCCATTCCATTATAGCTCTATAAGACACAGAAGATTTCAGAAGATTTTTCCTGGGTTTAGGTGCCAGTAGATGGCCTGATGTAGCTTGTCTATTCATGCTCGTCTCTTGTTTAAACTATTTGATCCTAAAAATAGAGCTAATCTGGCAGCCTTGTTTTGAGCTATTTGTATATGTGTTTTTGCTGCTGACATAGAAAGGGAGGCCAGAAATTATTTAGAGAAGGAATTATAACATTTATTACACCTCTATTTCAAACACAAAATACCACTTTACTTTTTAGCTTTGGTCTCCGTACACGCTTCTATAAGTTTTCATTTTCCATTTTTTATATTCTATTTTTATTTTATTTTTTTTATATGCTAATAATTGTTTTACTATAAACCAACCAACCAAATGTGAACAGGTGTTTATTTGACTACTTTCTACTTTTGGGATTGTTATTGGGAATCCTTATCCTTTAATAGAATAATATCACATCAATATATCTATAAATGATCATTGCATATATTTCAATGACATTACCTGACTCTTTGAGTCAGCGTCATGCCTCTCTCTCCATGTATTCTTGCTTGGAAGACTCCAGTCATTATTCTCTAGTTTCTGAAAATCAATCATTTTAAGCTGTTAAAACTTCACAACATCTTTCTTATAATTTAATATATGTTTATGCATATAATTTAAAAAAAATGTCACCTTGGCCTTTGTTCCCTTCTGGCTCCTGCTGAGCTTGTGGAGCAGCAGGTGATAGGAGGCCATGATGGCGGAGGGTCTGTTGATGGTGAGTGTGTGTATGATTTCAGAGAGGGAGTAGCCCAGCGTGTCCGTCATGTATCCCAGCACAGAGGAGTTAAGATCCTCTGGACCCAACCTGGGAAATAACAAGAGAGGTGGATGGAAAAACCGTAACAAACATAAAATGTGAAGAGTGAAGCAGAGAGAGAAATGTGATAGTGATTAAGGGTTTGTTGGTTCTGAAAAGTACGAGCAGTAACTGAAGGATTTGGTGTTGATGATTTTCAAATGTGAGCAGAACAGAGCAGCGCTTCATTCATGTGGATTCAAGAAGATGTTATTGCCAAGAGGAGCGATACATGATTGCATTTCCACACTGCGTAAAAAGTGATAAAAGCATTTCAGTCATGCTCTAACACACGAAGCTGTTACTCTACTGACCACAAAAACGTTCTCTTTGTTCGAAAAATTGCAGTGATTTCCCCCCTCTGTTTCCCACATTGTAATGTTTGCTGCAGAACAGTCTTACTTTGCCCTCATGTTGCAAACAAATATACTATAGAAAATCGGAAAGTATAAAAGGGATTAACATACCTTTTTTTTAGGAATATGAAAGTCAAACATTACCTATTTTCTAATATTTAGATGGGTTTGAAAGATAGGATATAGATTTCAAATATAAAAAGGTAGATTTTGAAGTCTGAGAGTAGATACCTGTTTTTATGAGTGAGTGTGTGTAGTGGTTTCTTGGCGTATCCCTCGTTGATCCACCTCTCCTCCATCGCAGCTCTGACACTGGGTCTCTTCGCTGGGTCTGGCTCCAGGAGAGACAACACAAATGCCACCGCACCTGAATCAGGGGCAATGATAAAGCAGTGTATTGTTTGTTTACCTAGTTTTCAGGATTTTCAATTATTCTGTTTCAGAATTCAGTTTGGTGCAAGTTCACATTTCCCTGGAAAATACAGAGATGTTTAGCCTCCAGCCTGTAACATGTGCTGTTACAGTTCACTCTTACATCATTTTTGTAATTAATAAAGGGAAAAATGCCGAGCTATCCAGCATCAAACAGGTTGTGGAGACCAGAAACCAAGCTCAAAGTAGGTTCACTTACATTCAACAGGTTTAATTTCAGATTATAAAGCTATTATCATCGACCCTAACTAGCATAAATAACCATGTAATTACAAAGTTAACCATTCTTAGCATTTACCCTGGGTTCCCTATTCACCAACTCACTCACGCCCATGTGTCCTGCTCGTTGGGAGCAGTAGTGGGCTAAAGAGGGATTTTTTCCTGCTTTTTTTTTCCCGCTGCTGGAGAGGACGCTGGCGTTGACTGTTCGCCGCTTCTCCGCCTCTGTCACCCTCTATCACGTGTGTCCTGCTCGTTGGGAGCAGTAGTGGGCTAAAGAGGGTTTTTTTGTTTTTTTCCTGCTTTTTTTTTCCCGCTTTTTTTTTCCCGCTGCTGGAGAGGACGCTGGCGTTGACTGTTCGCCGCTTCTCCGCCTCTGTCACCCTCTATCACCCTCAGCTACCATTCGTTCTTCAATCTTTCGAATTGGACCACTGTCCTGCATTTACACATCTTTAATGCAATGCACATTGTTTTTAAATTTTTTACTTATTTTGGACTTCTGCCTCCGTTGCTGGCTGTAGCCGGCTGCCCTCACGTAGCCATCAACGTGCCGGGTGGCTATTGCTATCTGCTACATCGCCTACTGTCTGTCTCCGTCCCACGCAACAACCGTGGACTCTCTCTGCCTCCTGCCTTCATCTCTGGGGTGCATCTGTCCCGTCCCGCTGCTCACATCCTCCTGCCATGTCGTGGATCTTCCTCGTCTCCACAACAATCCTCCACCTCTGTGAACCTAGCCCGCTAGCTGCTATCGCTGCCATCCCACTGCTCCCAGCCATTCCGCCTGTCATCATTCTGAAATACTCCATCTCACAGCTGCTGTCATTGACCAACTCCTCCACTCCGTCTTCCATCTCAGTCATCAGACATCTTGGACTCCTTAGTCGACCCCGCTACATTCACCGAAGCACCCGCCGCAGTTTTGTTTACCTTCAGCACGGACAATCCATTGCATCCATCTGCTCCACGCAACGCACTGTTGCACACCCGACGCGTCATCAGAACGCAACTCCTACTGCTTCTCTTACACTCTCCCCCGCTCACCTACACTCCCCCACGTTTTTTACAAGGGAAGTCCAAAGAAATGAGTAAATGACAGACTACAAAGAAGATAATTATAACGACGACGTATTACACATACAACGGTAGTAACAATAGACATCTACACCAAAAGGCTCGGCGAGGCTAATGTTCCTCTCAATGTTGCCCTCTTGACACTGCAGTATACATATGTGTTT